GGCATTTTTTGCTTCGCGGCTTCTTGCTTTTCAAATATTGACATTCAGCACACCTGGTTGCAACTTAAGATGGAACCACCTGACACACTGCAAGACTTCTCCGTGTGCGACTTCTTCCTATGGGGATATCTAAAGAGCTTTGTGTATCAAAACTAGGCTAAGAAATCGTGCCGAGCTCACATTGCGTCGCGGAAGAATGTGTTGGGCACAATGGACATCAGCATAATAATTTTCACTCTTGTGTAACGCATTTTCAACATTAAAACAATAATTTTCACATTTCGTTGGTTTATTGTATGATTATTTAATCTCTACGCCACCCTGTACCTATATGTTTGAAAAAAAATAAAAATTTAAACCAGTGCATACAAAGAAATGCATTGTTCTGACATCCGAGATGTGCAAGTGAACCTATAACCAGGGTCATGCTTTTAGTGATTCTGTACCTAATGTTATTTTGCACTGTGGCAAAACTTAGCATTAGAGATCTATTCCACGTAGGAACAAGTAGCGTAAATTAAGATTTGCATAATTCCATATTACTAATTGCGTTATTTAATTTTAATTATTTAATATGTTAAATTGCCATTAGGGATCCTAATTTATCTACTAATCTACATAATGAAACTTCTAACAGTTGTACGTCAAGATTTCGTAACTATCGAAGGATGTGTTACGTCCCGGTATCCACAATCCATTGTTGGGTACTTTATCCGGGAATGTAGTACCGACAATAGTCTGCCCGTTAAAATTAATCCTACCGATGTTAACCGTTGCGCCCCCCTCCGCACCTCCGACGACTAGATGACAGTCGGTGAGGAGATGATGACTGTCTCTTTTTGTGGGTATCCACTTTAGCTTAGCGCTATGGTCTGTTGCAAGAATCTGCAGTGGTAATTAGATTTAACATGAGATAGCTATTGTTTACCTTCATGTTTTTCTCAAAAATAAGCTCTTTGTCGCGGGCCGAGGTGCGCAACTGGTGGCATCCGTTGTAGATGGTACCTGGAAGCAGTTCGTAATTGGTGGAGTAAACCTGCCCGATGTACGTTTGGTGTCCGGACTCTCCCTGTCCACCAGGGAATGCGTCATACGGAACGACACCGAAGTAATCTCTCCAGTAGTACCCTGCTGACATGCAATTAATCGATGAAACGACAAAGACATGGAACTCACCAAGTTCGTAGTACGCGGACGTGTTTGTGGGGCACGATGTGCCGCATGGTGAAATGGTATACGCCAAATTCAGGCAGAAACAAACCATAAAAACGACTTGAAACATTTTGGCAAACAGGAGAACGATTTCGCGCCTTATATAAGTTAAAGAAGTTCGGGGTTATTAATTTTGTTTATGGTTTAAACGTGTATTTGGTACATTAGTAAACAACCTTGATTCGAGTAAGGATGCGCACTTTCCTTCTTTAACGGCAAAGAATGTAAACGCACGTTGATGTCATAACGACAATTATTGTGTGTCAAAATTTCGTAAGTCTTAAAGTGAAGCTTGTAGTTGTACCAGATCCACAAACCATACAATCTTAACCACCACCACCGCACTCTCGGCCAATGTGTAAAAGATGTTCGACTTCAGATCCTCCATTCAGCATCATCGTTTAATAGTCTGTAATTCAGCAGTTCACAGTTCGTCTGTTCTTCTTTTCATTTCAGATTAGATTGCCTTTGTTCACATATCTGCACTTGTATTTCGGCATAAATGGTTGCAGACAAAAACCCATATCCTTTGATATAATCTAATTAATGTAGGTAATATTACCGGTCTTATCCAAAGAATGGAGTTACGCTTTGCGCTGAATATGCTTTCCCATTAAATATTGGCCAATAGGTACTCTTTTTTTTCGGATTAATCAACGGAAGGTGTTCTTCACCTTTTTATCATAATGAATTGATGATGGTGCTTACTGGGCACTGTTCTAATATGTGCTAGTAACACGCTGATACTTGACAGACAAAAGAATGTAAAATTTTAAATTTTCCGATGCTAGTAAACAAAATATCTTAATTCTAGCAATATTTCTGGGTACTTAATAGCCACGCCATGGGGCATTATACCAAATAAGGAAACTGCTGACCAATGTGTCACCTTACCACATGTTAATACATACAGGTTACTAATTCTGTACCAGTGCTGTACAAGTGGTGAAATTACATAGGAATAGTGCTGGCCCATCACAATCACTTATTGTGGACATTGTAAAATCATTATTACTAAATAAATGTTTTATTTAAAAACTAAAAAAGAAGTTACATGATATTAATAATTAAAAGTAAGTGCATTAAAAATCACGATTACCAGCATTTCTGAAACATATAAGTAACCCTTGAGAAAATATCACACTTTTAATTAACTGAAAATGACACCTATATTTATTATAATATTAAATTTCTGAAACATATATTCAAAGGGCTATAACTTTTGATCTAGTAGCCCGATCTTGTAACTGTTGTTATTATGGATTCTACAGGCCATCTTCTATAAGAAAATATTTTTTTCCGGTCGAAATTAATTTTGGTGCTTAGAATCCAAAACGATTCGTACTTTTTCGATTAGACGTCTCAATCAAAAGTTATGGGCAAAAAACCAATTTGATGGATTTGGTCCTAGTGGTTAAAAGTTAGTGGTAGAAAACTTATTATTTACGGTACAAATTAGTACAAAATGAGTACAAAATTATGGTACAAACGTGTTTAAGAATCTGAATATTTGGGGTGGTGGCGTTTAGTTGCAACCCCAATGTAGATTTGGTCCTAACGATTAAAATGTAGTGGTACAAAATTTGATATCCGTGGTACAAATAAGTACACAATTAGTACAAAATAACGGTATTAATAGATTTGCTATCCTTTTTAGTGGGGGTTGCAACTTAATGCACCCCATCATTATGACCGCCTGAGGGGTCGTTGCCTTATTCATTTTATGAAAAAAAATAAAAAAAATAAAAAGAAGCACAACTCTTATAAACGTGAAATTAGTAGTTAAATTCCTGAACAAAAGAATGTCTGCACTTCCATGCAAATGTACAATAAGTTGCGAGTGCTATCCAGTCTTTACCGTTTAAATATTCTTTGAACTCAACAAGTGTCAGCACATTTTTATGTACTTAGGTATTTTCTACGAATTGTTTTCAATATTGGACAAACCCCAACAAAGTGAAATAGGTCTTCATCTTCCTGAAAATTACATAATGGAGCATAATTTTCTTTGTTCGTAATTGTATTTATTTAGATATATATCAATTCCCCCCTGACTTTATAAAAGATCCAGCTAATATAATTGCCAACAAGATTAAACATATTTGTTAAGTTGATCCAGTTCTTTGTATAGGGGATGTCTGATACTATTAACCGCTTTTAGTCTATATTGTTCTTTAACATCGTCTTTCAGCGCACTTAATATTACACTTGCCTCCATACTCCCACTTATAAGATCATTGGTGTTGAAGCCATATTTAACACATAGGATGTTCCAATCAGGCTTTTGTTTTTGGAAGCGGATCGAAGATATAAATGCCTTTTTGCCAATAAAATCGATATGTATTGAATTAGGTACGTACAACTTTGTAAGAAGCAGGCCGATTTGGCTGAAATTTTGTATCAATTTTCCTTCTAATGGCACGGAAAGCTGAGAAGATTTGGGAAACGATTGGAAAAGCGCTTTTGGCTATAAAAATTATACTTTTATTAAACAAGAAAGCAACAAAATTTTGATTGAAAGAAGGCCGTGTAAATTTCAGGTCACGTCTAATGTTAATTAATTTGAGAGCTCGCGTTAAGAAGTTATCACTATCAGTGAGTTGATTGTGTGATTAAACACAGTT